AGCCATTTTTGTTCTTTTGATAATCCCTCCAGACAAACTAATTAGACCTGGGTGAATGAATACCTGACCCAAAGAAGCTATCTAACCAGGGGCAGAGGTGAGTAGTAGTCATCTGTCTACTTTTCATTGAACAATCTTCGTTCACTTATAATTTTTCTTTTTGAGATGTTGCAGAAGTCATGCTGGAATTAAAAAATAACAAAGGAGTATATTTACTTTTATTATGAAAATGAAAATTAACTGACAGGAAAGTAGAAAGCAAGGTTTGGGCCCTTCCACATCTTGGCTGCAGGGGTGGATTGTAAGGGGCCCTTCCACATCTTGGCTGCAGGGCCAGGCAGAGGTGGATTGTAAAGCAAGGTGGGCGATGACTGAGGTGCCGCCGAGGTGTTGGAAGTACCTTAGTAATTCAATGACAATGCTGATGTGACTTTAAATAACATACATGCCTAACGCTGCAATAGGAGGCTGAAATATTATTGATAATCAGTGCCTCACCAAGTCACCATGAGGACATGTAATATCTGATGGCGTCAGTGCAACCATCTGCACTAGGAAGATAACTCTCTGGAAGCCAAACACCATGTAAAACTGGATCCATGCATGCATTCGAATACCCAGAGTGTCCATATACCTATCTTACGTGATGTTGCCACATTACACACTCGAGAACTGCACAGTCCAGTTTCATCCAAAAAATCTCATGTTTTAAATAAGTTTACAATTTTGTGTTGGGCCATGGTTTGGACACCCCTGTGCTAAACAGTGACTCTCTAGAACATAATACCATGTTCCCATTTCTTGGTATCTCTTCTAACAACTGTAGTATTTCCATACACAAAGAAAGAATGATTATCAGTCCTGAAATCCAAGCTATTTTTAACTTTTAGTGGGATCATCTCAAATAGATGAGTTTCTCTTAAAAGAAAACCACTAACTGTAATCTAGTTCTTCCTGAAAGACTCTAAATTAATGCACCACCTGTAATATTGTCAGTCTTCAAAGGTACTTCTAGATTAGAAAGCATAAGGGTACAAACAGTTGGCTCACTTTAATCCAAGTAGTAATCACTGGCAGATCTCAGTGATTGTAACTACTGCTTGACTCACCTGTCAACACCTTTATTTAAAACTAACTATACTACAATGATTTTGTAAATTGTTTAAAAAATCGCTTCACCTAAAAACCAAAGAAAATATAACTGAGCTTCACCAAGATTCTTGAAGAAATATTTTTTGCTTACTCTTGCTTTGTAGAGTTATATCTGATGCAAGAGCCAGTGTTACATGTTCCAGACAAATAGAAATGTGTCATCCATAAATGTCATGCTTAATATAAATACAGTGCCCAGTAAATCCAATTTTCTAAAACAGCACTGTCCAATACAGTAGCCATTAGCCACAAGTGGCTAATGACAATATGAAATAGAGCTGATACATACAAACAAATTGAGAATAGGAGGGCAAAGACATAAGGATTTATATTCTCCTTTGGAAATGTTTCTCATAGACACCTTAACTGAAAATACCTTATTTCCAATTCTTTAGAATCTATTACTTTGAGGATTTGTAATATGCTGCCTAATATTCCTTCTTTCAAAGAAACAGGTTTAATAGTAATAATAATTTTCAAGATGACTCATGCAACTCTCAACACCCCCATCAGCTAGTAAATTATTACTCTATTTAACAGATTACAAGGCCTGACAATTAAGTTCATGGATTCATCCAGAAAAGTGCTGCATACCCCTCACTGCTGAATATCACTACAGTCACCTTTGAAGTACTCCCCTTGAGAAGCTACGTACCAATGCCAGCACCTAGTCTACCCTTCAAAGCAATTTTGGAACTCTTTTTCTGGAATGACCATCAGAGCTGATACTATACTGCCCTTGACGTCCTGAATGTCATCAAAATGTCTTCCTTTCAGCTCGGCGCCTGTGGTTGAAGCAGTTAAGGCACCAGCCACATACACCTAAGCTGGCAGGTTCGAATCCAGCCCGGCCTGTCAAACAACAATGACAGCTGCATTCCTTTATTTTCAGGTAAAGAAAAAAATCATTGGGACCAGATCAAGTGAGTAGAGTGGGTGTTCCAATAGTTCCTTTTTTTTTTTTTTTTTTTTTTTTTTTTTGGAAAAGACCCCAAAGCTACCCCCGGGGGAGAGTGCCTTGGTTTCATTCTCTCAACTACCCCCCCCCCCTGGGGCCAAAGCCAGTCTCCTGCCTCAGCCTCCCAAGTAGCTGGGACCACAGGCGCCCTCCACAACGCCTGGCCATTTTTGGTTGCAGCCATCATTGTTGTTTGGCAGGCCTGGGCTGGGGATTCGAACCCGCCACCTTAGGTGTATGTGGCTGGCGCCTTAGCCGCTTGAGCCACAGGCGCCGAGCCAATAGTTATTTCTTTACTGGTTAAAAACTCCCTCACAGACAGCACTGTGCGAGCTGATACACTGTCATGATGCAAGAGTCATGAGTTATTGACCAAGATTTTCAGTTAAGATTTTCCTGTTTCTCTATGCATGTTTACTTGGTCTGCTGTGCTTCTCACAGTCAATGGACAATTCTGATGCACAATTCAATGAATTTTTGTAATGTCTATATCACTTCTGCTCGGTACTGACTGCTGTGACCTCTCTTTATCAGCAACACTTTCCCCTCAGAAAAACATTTAATCTGTTTTGTACACTGTTATTTCTTCATGGCACTGTCCCCATAAACTTGAACTGATACCTCCCTGATTTCACATCTACTCTTGCCAAGTTTAATAAGTTCACAAATGTTTGTTCATTGCTCTAATTCAAACTCCGACAGTCTCACATGGCACACAAAAACATGCAACAATAATGAATGCCACTGAGCAAGACCCCGCCGCACACTGACATGACACAACTGTGAGATACTGATATGCCAAGGTTGTAAGACTATACAAAGTTGTCTGTACAGTGCTGCAAACATAAGTACATGGGACAAGTTTGCAAACTTAATTGTCAGACCACGTAGAAAACTGAGGCATAGAAAGGTTTAAGTAATTTGCTCAATACCATACAGCTGTTAGAGGTACACTGGGCTCTGAACCCTGGCAGCCTGACTCCACAGACTGCATGCTGAAACAAGTAACATGACCTTTCCTAGCCCAGAAACTTCATCTTCATCATCTGCATAATACAACAGTAAAAGAAACTAAACTACATTTATAAATCTAGATAAAACTCACTCACTGAGAAGAAGCCTATGCTACCTTAGTACAGGGTAGGACAAGACAGAGGGGAAAAAGTAGCCGAGATCTTTATGGGTGTCCACACACTCCTCCTTGTGCTTCCTATCCCAATAAAGTTAGTTTCTGAGCACTTTCTTCTACCCCACTGATAGAAGAGCAATATAGAACATAAAGAATCATCTCAGAGAGATGAAAGGAAATTTGGGACCAATTTACTATGACGTAATTTCCCCTTAAATCCTCTACGGTTATAAAAGCTACTCCCTTTCCCATCACGTGTCCTTTCTGCCTGAACTCATTTTAAAAATCAAAGTTTCATTAGCGTGTTCCAAAAACTTCTTTCACCTTGAATTTTATTTCTGACACTAATTAAAAAAGAAAGGAGAGAAGGGTGCTGAAGTACTGTATACAAAACAGCACCTAATTAAACTTGGCTTAAGGAGAGAAATGCCAAATGACTGTAACTAGAGTTAATCTCATCTTACAGACCTTAAAACTTCATTAAAATGAGACCTGCCACCCTCACACAAGGAGATCGTAAAATTTCTTCTCTAGAACTACTGAATGATTAGGAACGATTATAATAGTTAATATAACAGATAACCTCTGGAGATTCACATAGAGCTATAGATCTACTGACCAATACAAAAAGGAAAAAAATACAGCACGCTAAACCTTTGAGTTTTTCCACTAGTTTTGAATGCAGTTGTACCTCTCTTCCTCATTTCTGCCAGGTACCCTCTGACTGCACCCACAAGAATATCCACCTTCAACATGTACTCTTCACGTGTTTCTAAATGTCTTCTCATTCAATAATTCTAAAGACAGTTCACTTTGATATTCCTTCAGCCAACAAATTTGTGACAGGAAAGAGTAATTTCAACTCAGTGCAAACAACTTTCCTTCTGCTCCATGCTTCACTGTATATAGTTAACAAAATTTTAGAAATCTTCACCTCTCGGCTTACCATTTTGTTCACTACGTTTTATATTTGAGTTACCCCATCTGTACAAAATATGCATTCTTTTACAGAGGAGAAAGAGCATCTAATTAAGATTCTCACTCCCAAATCCAAGAAGAAAAAGGGAGAAGCAGCAGAAAAAAAAGACATTCCTCCCCAAAAGCAGATACATAAGGTGATAACTTTTAGTAAGAGAAAAAGAATTTTTTTCTTTAATAGGGATTTGTATTATCAAAGCACTGTTAAAAATAAAATTGGCCCTTGTGGCTTAGAAAAAAATAAATATAACAAATAGGCAAATTTAAAAGACCTCCAAATGTAATAGGGAGCAAGTATTCCTTAATTTTGAAGTACATTATGATCTGTGATTTAATAAAGTTTTTTCAATATTAACTTTTAAAATAATTATAACAAATTATTTTTAGGAGTAATTTTCTACATTAATATAAACATATTTCTCAGATACATTTTGTATAGTCATTTGGTCAAAATATTAATTTCAAAAGACTAAAATCAACTACAAAATAAACAGCTATCTAAATTATAATCTTTTGCTTCACAGTAATAAATTTAATAACACAAATTTCAATGCTTAGAATAATTCTGAAAAAAGATGGATGGTCACTAATGATCTTATTACTGCACAAAAATATTTTATAAATAAAAAGCTACCACCCATTCCAACCTCAGTATCCTACCCACCAGATAAAAACCAGACCCTAAAAAATGACTCATCATGCTGACTTAAATGTATCTTCAACCATTTAAAAAAAAAAATTAAGTTACTATGCCAAATTACATAGGCTTATGTCACTACTCACACAGTTGAGGTTGATGAGCAAACAGCTGTCCTGTATCTTGAGACAGACATTAGCTTCCTGCCTTCCCTATCCTCATAAGCAGCTACTTAAAGTTTGAGTTTTATGCAAGAAAACATTTTAAAGCCTTCAGTGTTTTACTGCAGCAGACTTCAGATTCATTCCTGTAACACATTTAACATGAAACAGAGTTGAGACAATTAAAATTTATTATGCACCACATTTTAATCATCTAAAATTTTAAGGAGTGATTTCACTATTATACCTATGTAAGAAAGGGTTGCTGAGGTAAAATTAAGAAATAAAAACATACATTTGATATTTGACACCACTGTATAACGTAACATGTAAGCAAACCTTAACCTTCAGACTTCAAACTTCAAACTTCAGACTTTTCACATCTGGCCATAAGGTTTACTTTTTATAACCATCTGCACCCAAAGTAAGCAAAAGTAAGTGTTTTCTTGTTTTGCTAAAGGCTGGCTAATCTATTTAGACTAAATAACCACCGACTAAAGAACACTTTTACAAACAGTGGCGTGCCTTTGTTGTCGCGCTCACACCGTGTCACGGCTCCTGACTGGGGAGAATGAGGTTCTCAATCCTGTTGCAGCAACAGCAGAAGCCGCGTTCTGACATTTCCCACGGTTTATAGCACATCTACTGACAGATTCAGATTTCTATAACAGAGGCACTGCTATAGGTTAATCACGTGTTAGAAGGCTTATCTAGAAAGTAAAACTGCATTCCCACAGAAAACATTTTATCCTACTCAAACTTAGCTTTCAAAACAAAAAACCAGAAGGTTTGTAAATTAGGAGCTAACAATAAAAACAAAATTAAAATCCTTATTTCTCCATCCCATTAACAAATACGTCACACAAGCAGTCATAAAGATAGCTTGCACTGCAGAAATAAATAGTAAAAAGACTTTAATTGAAAAGATTTAATTTTTCATAAGCTACATTTCTAGGTAAGTGAAGTAGCATTTTAAACATATTACTCTTAATAGTTTTAATGGTCATATCCTTATCCAATCTAATTATTAAATAATAATCTAATACCATTATTACTGGTTAAACTTAAATCAAAATAGCTTCAGAAAGCCACACACAGAAGTAGATTTTAGGCTTAGGTGTTTCAATGGTTTTTTTCCTACAATTATAAGTACATTTCAGTCAAAACATGTATACTTCAAATAAAACATCCTAGAATACTAATGTAAATACTTCTCTTCTATATGTACACTGGTCTAATATGTATATTGGCTGCAATTTCTAAATTTTAGAAAAAGCCTTACAACTTCATGAAAGCAAACATACTGTAATATTTATATTTGCAACATGATTTTAAAAATACCATGAAAAAAGCATCTAAACATTTCCATTTCATGAACTAATTTTAAAAGTATTATTTAATGCTGAAATAATGCATATTTGCTATGCTATAAAAGACATTTTTTTTTCCCTTTGGTACAAACAGGGTCTTTTCTCTGCTGCCCAGGCCGGACTATGGTGGGGCAATCATAGCTCATTGTACCCTTGAACTCTTGCACTCAAGCAATTCTCTAGCCTCCAATATAGGACAGGTACATACCACCCTATGCAGCTATTCTTTCTTAAATTTTTTCATGGAGACCTTATTAGTCTGTTTTAGGGTTTAACAACTCAAATGGACCAGGTTCAGTGGCTTATGCCTATAATGCCAGCACTTGGAGAGCTGAGGCAGGAGTATTGCTTGAGGCCAAGAGTTCAAGACCAGCCTTGGCAATACAATGAAACACCATCTCTAAAAACAACTTTTAAAAATTAGCCAGGTGTGGTGGTGCACACATGTAGTCCCAGCTACCCTGGAGCTGGAGGTTGCAGTGAGCTGACTGCACCACACTACACTCCAGCCTGTGTTGCAGAGTGAAATCCTGACACTAAAAAATTAACAAAAAAATTAAACCCTCAATTCTTCTTTATAATCTACTTATACTGTACATATATAAATAAAAGATTTAAGGCTGGGCACACCAGCTCACACCTGTAATCCCAGCACTTCAGGAGGCTGAGGTGGGAGAACCATTTGAGGTGAGGCATTCAAGACAAGCCTAGGCAAACAGTGAGACCCTATCTCTATAAAAAAATAGAAAATTAGCTGAGGGCAGCACCTGTGGCTCAATGGGTAGGGTGCCAGCCCCATATACCCAGGGTGGCAGGTTTGAACCCGGCCCCAGCCAAACTGCAACAAAAAAAATTGTCAGGCATTGTGGCGGGTGCCCTGTAGTCCCAGCTACTTGGGAGGCTGAGGCAAGAGAATGCCTAAGACCAGGAGTTGGTTGCTGTGAGCTGTGACTCTACAGCACTTTACCGTGGGCGATAAAGTGAGAGACTCTGTCTCTTAAAAAAAAAAAGAAAAAAAAAATTAGCTGAGCATAGTGGCACACACCTGCCATCCCAGCTACTTGGGAAGCTAAGGCAGGAATATCGCTTGAGGCTGGAGTCAGAGTTTACAATGAGCTATGATGACACCACTGTACTCTAGCCAAGGCAACAGAGCAAGACTCTGTCTCCAAAAGTACAGATAATAGAAAGATTTTAAAAATAATTCAAAATCCCCTAGGAGTTGTAACTTGATAGAATATCCTTCATACAGTAAAAATAATTTTCCAAGAGTCTAACTTTGCTTTAGAACTAAGACTTTTGGATTTTTATCACAGTACAATAGCTGAAACATAAAATTATTTCTCTTGGGCTACAAAACTGCAGTCCCAAATCCTGGTCTATGGGCTAGCCTCACTTTCTGGCCTGTTAGGAACTGGGCCACACAGCAAGAGGTGAGGAGCAGCTAAGTGAGTGAAACTTCATCTGTATTTACAGCCACACCCCCATGTTTGCATCACAGCCCAAGTTCCACCTCCTGTCAGATCAGCAGCCACTTCAGATTTTCATACGAGCTCAAACCCTGCATGTGCGGGATCTAGGTTGTGTACTCCTCATGCGACCTAACGCCTTATGATGTGAGGTAAATGTAATGCTCTCAAATATTCTTGGAATACACCCCTCCCACCACATCCATGAAAATAATTAGCTTCCATGAAACCAGTCCCTGGTACCAAAAAGGCTGGGGACCACTGCTGTAAAGCATATGCTTCTGCATATGAGCATTTATGATGTAACAGATACCTTCCTGAGAGTTCTACATGCACACACAATCCTCATTCCACCCTAAAAAGGCAGGTGCTATTATTACCAACTCTACAGGTCATAAAACGAAGTTTAGAGATGTTAAGAACCTGTTCAAGATCATGGAGCTAGTAAGTGGCAGAGGAAGGACCTAAGCCAGATCTACTTGTCTCCACAGTCTGGTGCTCTGGAGCATCAAGCTAGACTACAGGCAAATAGCGATCCTTGTACTGTAACAGGATTCCATCTATAGCACTGAGCTCCTGCAATTAAATGTCTAAAGCCAATTAAATACCCAAATTATTACCATCATAGAAATAACTGATTCAGGCAGAATTATCAGAGAATGAATTTTTAAATTCCTTGTGGATTTTAGTTTGAAGAGGACTGGTATATAGAGTCTCAAAGTCTCTCCTTACAAATTACTACAAAAGGAAAAGTAATAGCTTATGTAGAGAAAACTGGCCAGCATCATACATAGCATTAACCAAAAGACAAAAGTGAGTGTCACTGAACAAATGGAAGTGTCTCTTGATGGACCTGAAAAGTACACATCACAATTACAATGTTTCTGCCAAAACCACATTTCCTAAATTTAATCACAAGGACACATCAGATAAGCCCAAACTGAGATTCTACAAATAGATGGTCCGTCACCGTCTTCAAAGATATCAATGTCATTAAGGACCAAAAAAAGGAGAAGAAATATTCCTGATTAAAGGAGAATAAAGGGATATGACAACTAAATGCAGTGAATGATTCTAGGCTGGATCCTGGGCAGGAAAACAAATTATTAAAGAACATCACTGGGAAAACTAGGGGAATCTGATCATGGAATGTATTATTTCCTTAATTTGATAACTATAAGGTAATTGTATAAGACAATGTTCTTATTCTTATTAACTACATGAAGTATTACAAGGTAAAGGGATATGACATATGTTCTAACTTACTCTCAGACAGTAAGTTTTTAAAAAATGACAATGATTAAGCAAATGGGGCAAAATGTTAATAATCAGTTAATCTTGCTAACATGTCTGTAGAAATTATTTGTATTATAACTTTGTATAAATTCAAATCATTTCAAAATACAAATGATAAAGAAACATTTAAAACTGATGTTCAAAGGATTCCAAATGCCTGAGAAAGCCAGATTTCCCATCTCATCTCTCCACATACTCAAACTCCAATCAAACAGCAATCTAAACTGATTTACAGTGATCTATTTAATTACTTATAATAAATAGTGCTCTGGTTTAAAACAGTATGAGTAGCAAAAAACATGTATCAATCCAAGGTGTGCCTCACAGATCTAAACAGGTCAATGTTTGAAACTTTCCCAACATTACAAGCTAAATAAAAAACAAAAGGAGATACAAACTTCTTCAATAGAGCACTGCTATTCTTTAATTGGGAATGTAGTAGTGTGTTTATCTCCTGGCTATAAACTTCTGGTTATGCCAAGTAGCAAAACAGAACCAAATCAAGAGCTAACAAGTGATCAATAACATATATAGAAAACATTAAAACAAATCGCCGGCTCGGCACCTATAGCTCAACCGGCTAAGGCGCCAGCCACGTACGTACACCTAAGGTGGCGGGTTCAAATCCCCAGCCTGGACCCGCCAAACAACAATGACGGCTGCAACCAAAAAAAATAGCTGGGCGTTGTGGCGGGCGCCTGTGGTCCCAGCTACTTGGGAGGCAGAGGCAGGAGGCTTGCTTGAGCCCAGGAGTTGGAAGTTGCT